GAAAGAAAGAAAGAAAGAAAGAAAGAAAGAAAGAAAGAAAGAAAGAAAGAATTGGGGGGCACCACCTGGCTCAGTGGGGAGAGCATGCAAGTCTTGATCTCAACGTCATGAGTTTGAGCCCCACATTAGGTATAGAGATTACTTTAAAAAATTGTTTATTTTTATTTATTTACTTATTTTATTTAAGAGAGACAAAAGGGGGGTAGGGAGAGGAGCAAAGGTAGAGAGAGAACCTTAAGCAGGTTCCACACTCAGCAGGGAGCCTGACACGGGGCTCCATCCCACCACTGTGAGATCATGACCTGAACTGAATCAAGAGTCGGATGCTCCGCTGACTGAACCACCCAGCTGCCCCACACAGGAATTTTTTCCAAAGACATGCAAAGTTAACACCTTTTGTTTTTGATAAAGGTATTTAAAGATCATGCCATTGATGGAGAAACCTTGCCATTACTCACCGAGGAGCATCTTCGCAGCACTCTGGGATTAAAGCTAGGGCCGGCACTCAAGATTCAGTCACAGGTATGGTGAGTTCTCATAACCAAATATGTATTAATGGTATGAGGCTTAAGAGAAATATGTTACTTTTCTCCTGTTGTAATATGCACAATACCCACTTAACCTCTTTATTAAGCTTTGCCCCTCTGTGGGTGGGGACCTGACAGAAATGGGGAAACCTGAAAGCTTTGGGTGGGGTAGTGGTACTCATTCCTAGCTATGGTTGGGAAGGCACAAAGCAGTGGTGTGCTGGTGAATGTTTAACAACTAGTTCTCTTTAAAAAACAAAATGAACGCTGACTTGTAGCATCTGTTAATTTCTGTAATGTAAATATGCCTATGATGGCTGACAAACTCCTAATGTCATGTCCCCGAATTCAGAATCGGGGAGAGAGGCGCAGCAGTGCCCCATTTTAGAGCATGTTCACCATATGGATACACATAACTGACCTCAGGAGCAGAATAATAATAATTAATAGTAAAATCATTAGGTAAAAACAATTAAGGAGTGATGAGTTTTGAGTATTGATGACTCGAGTTTTCAATATAATGTATTTAATTGTAAATTTATATAATTTAATTTTTAACAATGCCACATTTAGCAACTGCTTTGCAAACTTCCCGAAAATGTAACGATTGGCTCTTGAGACTGGACCGAGGCAACTCCAGTTCATGACTTCTCACCATCTCCACTGCTTCCTTCAGGACTAAAGCACCAGTATCTCTCATTAGATTACTGCCTTAGCCTTCTGTTTGCCCTGCTCTGCCTTTGCCCTCCCAGCACCTATGCACAAAACAGTTCAGGATGATCCTCCTAATACATAGGACAGACCATGTCTCCCTTTGGCTCAAAAGTCTGCAATAGCTCCCCATTTCCTCCAGAGTAACCGCCCAAAGTTTATATCATTTGTGCTCCTCCATTATCCTTACCTTCCTGACCTCATCTTCTACTTACCTCCCCTCTGCTCCACACCCCCCAGTTACTGCTTTTGACCACTGGCCTCTGGATGCTGCTTAAACTTGTCGGCAAGCTCCACCTAAGGGCCGTTCCCTCTGCCTGGGATGCTCTTCCCCTGATATCCTCATGCCTTGTTCCCTCACCTCCTTCATCTTTGCTCTGCTATATCTTCTTAATGAAGTTTGCTCTGATCGCCCTATTTACAATTGTACCCAGCTCAGGATCCATGCACACTACTGCTGTTCCTTTTCTTCTCTTCTTTTCTTCCCCAACAGCACCTATCATCTTCAATCATACAATGCAATGCATTTATTATATTCATGTTTATTGTTGATTCCCCCCCCCCCCAAACCCACTAGAATGTAAGCTCCATGAGAGCATAGGTCTTTGTCTGTTTTGTTGACTAATGTATCTTTAGAGTATACAAGACTCATAATAGGTCAAAAGTTATTTGTTGAAAGAGTGAGTTTCCTGAAAATGAAACCAAGAATCATCAACTGATTCTTCCCAGAATTTATACAGAACTGAACCACTTTACAATACATATTTACACAAAGAACAATGAGACTTCAAAATGCCCTTCGAAAACCATTTTTCTCTGCCAAAAAAGTTTAGGGTAAAGAAGTTCTTTATTTCTAGTGTAAATACCTTAATGTTTCCATTGGTATTCTTTTTTTTTTTTTCAACTTCTTATTTTGGAATGATTTTAGGTATAGAAAAGTTGCAAAGATAATAGAGTTCACCCAGCTTTTCTTAAGGCTAACATCTTACATAATGTGGCACATTTGTCAAAACTAAGAAATTAACATTGGTACAATATGGTATTCACTTTTAAATAATTTATTTTTCTTTTAAATTTTTTTTTTGTTTATTTATTTTTGAGAGACAGAGAGAGAGCACGAGCAGAGGAGGGGCAGACAGAGAGGGAGACAGAGAACCTGATGCAGGTTCCAGACTCCAAGCTGTCAGCACAGAGCCTGACACAGGACTCAAACTCACGGACCTGAGCCGAAGTCGGATGCTTAACTGACTGAGCCACCCAGGCGCCCCAACAATTTATTTTTCTTTAGTGAGGATACTATCCCTCTTGGCATTCTAATGACACTGCATGGTTTTTTTTTTTTTCTCAAATCTGATTTACTTTGGCTCTAATTTATCACTCTGGCACTTATTTTTTTCTGCCTTAACAACGTGGCCAGCTCTAAGCCTTTCTTTTTTCTTTTTGAACATAGTTGGCATACAGTGTTACATTCTCCAAGTCAGTCTTCATCTTGTCCTCACTTGCCATCACTATTAGCCCCAAATCATTTTCACAAGGCTGTAGTCATTTCCTGTGCTCACACCTAATGTGTATAAGTAACTCTATGGAGCCCAAGTGAGCTCTAAAGTCCAGGCTCCATCTGCCTGCACAACAGGATAGAGCTCCCCAGAAGCTGTGGGGGAAGATCTCAATCTCCAAAATGGGAAGCAGGGGCAAAATTCCATTATAGTAAGCCCTGCTGAGAAGAAGAAAACCCACCCGGATGACCAGAAACTTAGAAGGTGGACCTGAACAGGGCATACAAGGCATACAGGACATTACTGGAATCTGAGAACCCAGTATTATTAGAATGGAAGAAGCTGGGTTTGAGCTGTGACAATGTGAACGACGTAGAAATCCCCTGGGTCCCCTGGAGGGTGAGGTTTGTGTAAGAGTCCAGTGGTTAATGCTGGGGCACCGAGGCCCAAAGCGGCAATGTTTATGTCTCAACACTAAGGCAACTTGAAGCCACCTGTGTGCTGAATCTCCCTAAAGAATTGCAGCCTCAGCTTAGAGAAGTGCCAGTTGGGCATTGGTAAAGGTGGAGTGGGGTGTCTGTGGGATCTGTTGAAGGACCCTTAGGAAAGGGTGAGGTGGAGTAAACTCAGAGTGAAATGATTGGGTCACAGATGAACCACAGCAGACCCAGAGCCAGGAATTACAAAGTTACTACCACGGTGATATCCAGTTTTACAGTAATAAATGCTGGATGTTTCTGAGAGAAAGAAAAAGCCCCCACATCCTAGAACGGCGTCCCTCACAACTATCTAGATGCCCCATGCCTGAAATTACCTATCCTTCCTGCCATCTATGCCTAAGCAGAGGATGCTGGGTTATTGAAAGAATCTATAGACTTAATTGTTATAATCATTTTGTCTCCAAAGGTATCTCAGCAAGTGGAAAGTATGTTGTATAAGAAAAGCCTTCTACTTCCTACCCATACAAAACAACCATTTGAGCAACCAGCAGATACGTCCCCTCTTTTGGATTTTAATTCCTGGGGTGATACATTGGATGTTCCTTGTTCCCAGGATATAACAATTCCTAAATGAAGCGAACAAGATAGCGTGAGAAATTAAAACCCTCAAGGAGCAAGAACAGTCTTTATCAGTTTTCCAAAGAGTCCAGGACATTCTGAAGGGCGTGTGAGGGTTTCCCAAGATGAGATGGAAGCTGGGAAGAAGAGAAAGCCAGCCCTCCTGGAGCCCTTAAGGAGGCCTTGCCCGAGAGCCTTCCTAATGTGACTTCAGCCCAAAGTGGCTGCAGGTGTATCCTTGGAAGCAAATGCTGAATGAAGGAGAGCATTTGCAAACACCAAAAAAGCTACAGTTGGGTGATTCCATGAGGAAATCTCCGAAGAAGCCAAAAGAACCAATACTGAAAAAAAAAAAAAAAAAAAAAGAGTTCCTTATCTCCCTTCACTCATTTCCCATCCCCCAAACCAGAAAGAGACCAAGGCAATCCCGTGGAGTTGAAAGATGTAGAAGAAAAAGTGGCAAAGTACAAAAATGAGAAAGAGAAGCTGACCACAAGGCCTCCACTTTTTCTCACTTCAGGCTTCCAGGCTGAAGAAGGACCAAGCCAGGGAAGAACAGAAGGCTTAACCTTTCAGTTCAGAGAGACTGTTATTCAGCATTTTCTTTCTGACATGAAATTGTCATGACTCAAAATAACTCCTAATTATCTGAGACCGAGATGAAAAGTAACAGTACCCACCTCAGATTTCCCACAAAGCGTGGGGATAGAGTTATCTCTGCAAAGCAGGTCTGAATTGGCTGGAGGGAGGGGAGAAGATGAAGGTGACTTTCTGCTTGTCCCCGTGGAGTCCCTCTCAACTTTACACTTAACAGAAAGCCTCTGAAAAGATACACAAGAAAAGGCTAGGAGTTTGCTCAAGGAAGGGACTGGCAACAGGGGCATGAGGGAAACTTAGCACATACCCTCCTGTACATTTTATTTTATTTTATTTTTAATTTTTTTTCAACGTTTTTTATTTATTTTTTGGGACAGAGAGAGACAGAGCATGAACGGGGGAGGGGCAGAGAGAGAGGGAGACACAGAATCGGAAACAGGCTCCAGGCCCTGAGCCATCAGCCCAGAGCCTGACGCGGGGCTCGAACTCACGGACTGCGAGATCGTGACCTGGCTGAAGTCGGACGCTCAACCGACTGCGCCACCCAGGCGCCCCACCCTCCTGTACATTTTAAATGTCCAACGATGAGAATGCATTTTCTATTTTTAAAATTTACATTTAAAATGAAGAAACTGTAGCAGACAGCCTCGAAGGTAGCCCCCAATGATCCCTGCTTCCCGGTCCCTGTGCCCTCGTGTAACGCCCTCCCCTCTTAGGTGGGATGGACTTACTGACTCTTTTCTAGTGAACATAATATGAAAATCATGATGGATGTCACATCTTTGGTTCTTCTGTCTGGGATGCTCTTTCTCTCTCTTTGGAATCCCTGCTCTTGAGGGAGCCAGCTTCTATGAGTCCAGGCAGCCCTGCGGAGAGCCTGAGTGATGGAACGTGGAAACAAATCTTCTGAGGCTTGTCAAAAGCCACATTAAGGAACTTGAACGTGGCTTCTCTTCAATGAAGCATTGAGATAACTACACATGCAGCTTCTGCCTACAGCTTGATGGAGGGCCTGAACCAGAGGTCCCCACTGAGTCGCTCCTGGATTCCTGACCCACAGAAACTGCAAAATAATAAATGTGTTGTTTTCAGCCACAAAGTTTTGGAGTAATTTATTTCACAGCAATAGATAACTAAAACAAACCAATAAAGTGCATTGTACAACATGTATGGGCTGGTACCCACATTCACTTTTTGATTTAAAGGTGGGTTTTTGAAGTTATTTCCCTACAAGCCAGGCTAACATCATCAAGCTTTACTCTCTTCCACTTTTAATCTGAAAACAGCAAGGGGTTTTTGCCAACATAAAATTATATTGTACTTTCAAATATCCTTGTGGATTTGCTAATTTACTTCCTATGGAGAGAGAAAGAGAGACAGAGAGAGACGGAGGAGGGAGAGAAGGAGAAAAAGAGGAATAATCTGGGAAAATTTCAAAATTTTACAAAGTTTTGTCACATGCCCTTTCAACGGTTACAATTCTCAGCATAGAGAAGTTTCACAAGATAGCAAATGTGAGTTAACAGATGTTATGGTGGGGGATAAAAAGGAAAGTTTAATTAATATTTTTAGTGGGAAAAGGATCGTGTGGCTCAATCCATATGACAGTTTTAAATTTCTTATCCCTGCTAAATGAGTCAATCGAGTTGGGAACTGATTCACTTGAACACATGTGTCTCAAAGTCGCACTAAGGAAAGTGTTCTGACATGCCTTCCTGGCATATACTATCACCAAAAAAAGCACTGTGCTTAATCTTAGATCCATGCATAAAAAAGCAGAGGATGTAGGTGAAGGAGGGTCCTCAGCTCCCTGCACTCTTCTGGTGGAAGCGGGGGTGGCAGGGAAGGAGGCTGGAGTTGGTTGTGCACACTAAGGTTACTTTCTTTCCAGATGAATAACTCCGGGGTACTTTTTAACAACAAACCCGCTTTAGAGACAGAAATGGTATTGGGGAATGAATATTTCACCCACATTATCATATAGAAATAGTGTTTACCTTTTCGGCAAATACTACTTTAGTCTTGAGCATACTCTGTACCCTTTGTGAGAATAGAAGGAAGGACAGCAACAAAAAGAAGTCTCTCCTATGTTTGAAAACCAATCACAATGAAACTGTGTTGGCTAATTAGGATCTTCAACTTACGAAATATTCTGTGTAGACAGACTGAATAAACATCCACACAATGGAGCGCTATGCAACTGTTTCTACAATGGAAGTATTTATTATAGCTCTTAGAAAGCAAAAATAGAATTTGCATATCATCATTTTGCACCCCTAAAAAATAAAGATCTAGCTGATGACCATGAGTGGCTGGTACCCTTACGAATAGAGAAACAACCAGACAATACATGCCTCCTTACGGAAGTCCATAACAAAATCCAAACTGTGGGAAACTGCATGGTAGAAACTGTTTTAGTAACTATATAGTAGAAATGACCTGATTTTCTTCAACAAACAAATTGCAAAGAAAAACAAAGAGAGAAAAAGGAAAATCAATAGATTAAAAGATACTAAAGATTCAAATCACATAGATGTAAACATTCTGGAAACAGGTAGTTATGATGGTTGCACAACATTGTGAGTGTAATTAATGCCACTTAATTGTACACTTAAAAATGATTTAAATCACACATTTTTTAAATTCAATGGAGTCTGGCAGAACACTCAAGACTCTTGAGTCAGAGACAAGGGACTTTATTACTCATGATACAACAAGAAGCCCAAACATTAGCATATTTGTGTTGGTTTTCCTTGCTCTCAAGTGCCACAAGGGTAATAAAGATGGGCCTAGAGATTGCCTGTACATGCAGTGTCTTGCATCACAGCTGAAGAGCACTGAGCTTGGGAAACCCACTAATTTTATAACAAGCAGTAAGCAAGCCTGCTCTTTGACTGGGCTGGGGATGGAATGTTGGAGGGGAGTGGGGAAGAGATGTTATGTCATTTCTTAAGGCTACCAGTACATAATTAACCCTGAAAATTGGCCCTGATGAAAGAACAGTCAGGATCTTGCGATCTTGGCCCACCCAGAAAGATCTGTAGGAACAAAGGAGACCCAGAAAAGAGTGTCTCTTCCAACAATATCATGCCATGGATTTGCTTCAAAAAAATCCATTGAGAAGAGAGGGTATTAGTCAGTGGGAGTATAGGTGAAACAACTTTGACCATGAGTTGATACTTATTGAAGCTGGGTTATGAGTACATGAGGCTCACTAAGCTGTTCATTCTTCTTTTATATATGTTTGAAAATTTTCCATAATAAAAGTTTTTTTAATCTTATTAAGAGTTATCATATACATTATGTGTGTGTTCTAATATTTTCTGATAGTATATTTAAAAATGCATATTTGCTATTTAAAATCTGTGGAACATTTATGGGGCACCTGAGTGGCTTAGTTGGCTGAGCACTGACTTTGGCTCAGGTCATAATCTCATAGTTTGTGGACTTAAGCCCTGCATCGGGCTCTGTGCTGACAGCTTGGAGCCTTGAGCCTGCTTCAGATTCTGAGTCTCCCTCTCATTCTCTGTCTCTCAAAAATAAATAAAGTGTTTAAAATTTTTAATAAAAATAAAAAATAAATAAAATCTGTGGAATTTTTTATTCTATCAATTAATACTAAGATAATAACTTCAAGCAAATGCAGTTACTCATGATGGTAAATATTTATATTGTAATTTTATTACAGCTATATGAAAGGTCTGTTTTATAGAGAGTTGTAGGCAATTTATTGTACTTGTCCATCCTGTCCTGGGGAAAATGAATGTCTCTTCACAGAAGCCAAAAATACAAGGTCTGAGGTCTTTGATATATCTGCTAATAGTCACAAGATGTCATTGTGCAGCCATGAGAAGTAATCTCCCCAGAAATGTAATAGTTTGCCTAACATGACTGGGTGTCATTTTGGAAAAATCAGAATGCTTTTAGGCTGTGCACATTTAAAAAACAAAATGCATTTCTAGTATATTTCACCACTACCCCTTTGGCTCATTCCCTACTAGGTAATTTTATTTTGCTGGCTAGAGTGACATAAAGTTTATTGACTGATTATTACATTGAATTCAATGCCTACTTCCTTTCATCCTGCTAAGAAGTCCTTCTCATCATATAAAACATAAAAGCGAGAGTTTCAAACACCTTGTTGCTATAAAAATTTTTTATCACCTCTTGTCTTAGTCGGTTTGGGCCACTATAATAAAATGACACAGACTGAGTGGCTTATAAACAAAAGAAATTTATTTCTCGCAGGTCCGAGGCTAGAAGTCCAAAATCCAGGTGCCAGCATGGTCGGCTTCTAGTGACAGCCTTCTTCCAGGGTGAAGCCTGCCGACCTGTCACTGTGTGCTCATGTGGTGGAAACCAGAGACAGCAAACTCTTGCGTCTCTTCTTAGAAGGACACTAATCCCATTCATGAGGGCACCATCTTCATGACCTAATCACTTCCCAAAGGGCCCTCCTCCTAATAGCATCACAATGGGGGTTAGGATTTCAACATATGAATTTGGTGAGGGGACATTCAGTCCCTTCATCAGCCCATTTGCTGTCAGTCCCCTCTCAACATTTTTCAGCTCTTTGATGCCTAAAAAAATATTCAGCAATTTCAGCTCCCCTTCTGGGTCTTTGGGGGATGGGGTGGGTGGCAGGGAGTAGCCAGGTTTCTGCACTTTTTACTTCTGCAGTTGCATTCCTATATAGAAAACAGCAAATTTCACATTAAAAAGGATGAGAGAGTTACAGAGTTTATCCAGATGATCAACCAGCTGTTACAAAAACTTAGAAACCCTGCTTCTTAACTATACATCTTCCTAACCATACCCCTCCTAAGAGCATGCCTTGGGAAGCACAAAACTAAAGAGTATATTTCCCTTTTGGGGATCACTGTGATGCTCCTGCACTGGAGACATCAGTCTTCATACTCATCATGGGTCCTGCCATCCCACCATTCTTGCAAAGATGGTTCTTCACTGGGTACCTGAAGATCACTGTCAAAACCCAGCCTGTGCCACTGATGTGTGGCACTGGAGGATGTGGGCTACGAGGGGCCCAAGCATTTGCGTCAAGGGGGAGAGGCCTTCAAGCATAGGAAAATGTATAATGTATTCTGTTTAAAGTAAAAACTACCGAGGAAACCTCTCATCAGAGCAAATGTCCCAAAGCGCATCTGTAGCCTGACCAAAAGCTCTACCGGAGAGAGAGCGAGAGCTGTGAAATCAGAAGAAGGAGAACAACAAGAGGAAGAATCAAGGGAGAAGATACAACCCGAGTCTACTGTCCAGCAACTCACCACCCATGGCAGAACAGAGTTAGGGTAGTTATGTTTCCCACCATACAAGGCACCCATCTTTTAAG